GACATCCTCTCCCTCTCCAAATTAACCCTTTAAAGAATCCTAGTTACAGGCCTAACAGAATATTAATAGATACAGTAGTGTATCTCATGTTTAAAAAATGTTAAGGGTGAATATAATTCTCTTTGCAAATTTCAGATAAACAGTGCAAAGAATACATTTTACAAAATGATGGTGTAAAACTGTTAACAGATTGTTTATCAAAGTGAGTAATAGTAGTCTGTAGTCATCTTTTGATATTATTGTATACCAGGTACACTGGTGTTAAATTGCTCTTAAAGGTAATGTACCAAGTTAAAAAACTGCATGTGCCGCAGTCAATTTCACTGTGAATATTCACATCTAGTTGCGGTACTATTATTTGTTTTTATTCCTCATCATATCAAATCAATTTACAAATAAAAGATATATCAACCTGTGGTTTTTGGGTGTCTAGAAAACTCAGATCTAGAAAAAACAATTCTTACACACAGTGTACCTAAAGTTTCATTATTTTGTTATAAACAAAACAAACTTTTAAAATGTTTTAAAGTGGATAAAGGTTGGAAAGGACCATGAAACTCCAAGGAGCTTGTAGAATGAAGGCCTGGATGAAGTAAAAATGTTTTACCATATTAAAAAAAAAATCAAGATTAATGACTGGCATAACTCTTTTTTAATGTGCAGACAAAAAAAATCGCCGACAGACAATTCATCAACAGCCAAATCAGTCAGTTTTTTATTTTAAAATTATGACAAGATTTTGACATACAGTCTGCCTACTAAAATTTTTCAGCAGACAGAATGGAAATTTGATTGACAGAATGGAGGGTTTCTCCAACAAAATAAATGTGAAAGTCACAATGAACATGTTATTTCTCCGACATTTACAGGCCTGTAGCTTTTCCTAGATCAGGAAGTTTACTGCAATTTACCTTTTAAGTTGATGTAATTTTTTGTTTAAATGTTTTTTTTTCCCCAAGTCACAATGAGGAAGTTGTCCTTTCTGCTATAACAACATTAATGTTCTTGGTCACACCAGCTTCAAAACCAGGTAAGTTTTAACCTTCTATCAAATACAATATACTGTTGAACTTGGCCAAGGATTGTTCGACTTGGCATGTACAATAAGATCAACTTAAAAATTATCAGAGTTAGGCAAAGTTGACTTAGGAAAGTTTAACTGTACATATTACCAGCATGTATGAACTTACAGTAGGACATGTTTAACTGTAGATATTACCAGCATGTATGAACTTACAGTAGGACTATGAAAAAAACTAATGTAAATGATTGAGATTTAAAAAAATAAATGTGTTCAATCTCAAGATTTTTAAATTATTCCTCCATTTTTTAAACAGAAATAACTGCACCTGAAATAGTGGCATGTATGCAGCGATTTTCAAGATCTACAAATTGTCGTCTCAGTAACTTAGCAACCATTTTTATGGAGGATCATTGTACTGAATGGCAACGAAAACATTGTGTGTCAACAAAACCGGTTGGAATTCCTTTACCTGTTACCACGCCACCAGAAAATGAATAATTGGGAAAAACCTAACACTATTTATGTTTATGTTAAGTTTAAATGCCTGACAGTAGTTAAATTGATAGTGTTGAAAATAGTTTTTAATAAATAAAAGGAACATAATATGGAATGTGTAGTTTGAAGATCTGTTTTTTCATTGCTGTAGTGTACAAGAATAAACAAGTAACCACACTACAAAATACACATTTGAGTCTTGTATAAAGTCATCACTCTCCCAAATTTATTCAGTAGAATATCAATAACTGATGTGAAACTACACTTGAAGCATAAATGAGGATGTATAGCAGCCCACCAGAAGTGGCAAGCCCATCATGTTAAAAGGTTTTCAGAATCAAATGCTTTTGTCTATTTGGCTGGGGCTGCTGCTGCTCCACGCTGTCTTGGCTTAGGAGTTGTACCTTCTCTAAATCCATTACTAAGAGAAAATAAAAACAAACATAAATATGTATGGATAAATAACCGACGATGTATAAAAAAATAAGTATGCGAAACAAGGTATAAAGAAAGTCTCGCCTAATCTAGGTCATACATTAAGATGGTCAATACATGTGAATACTCAAATTTTGACGTCAAGCACCTGGTTTTGCCAGATTCGTTCACATATATTAAGTGGACACCCTTTTTTTAGTGTGCCAAATTTAACACTTTCAATCACTATTAAAGATGTATTGTCCCATGCTAAATACCAAAAAATCATTAAAATATTTTTTGAAATTAACTTGCCCATTTTGAAGTAACAGATGTTGAACATAGAAATTAGTGTATTTAAAAAATGTCTAACCATCAGTTTACAGCGAAAAACGATAGAAACACTGCCAGTCCCTGGAAGTGTTTTATTTTTTAATTTTTTTAATTTTTTGGTTTAAAAATCAGGGTACACATTTTTTAAATTCAATCATTTTTATGCACAAGTTAAAAATTTGTATGCTATTGCAATATGAGTAAGTTTTCAAAATTATTTTCTATGATTTTTTAACATTAGCAAGGGAAAATACTTCTTTAAGGGGACATTATTATTATATCCTATAACCAATTTAAGACAATTTATCAAAGGGATTTTCATCCATAAATATTTTCCGTATTTGTATGTTTGGTCATTGTTTGTGCACAGGTTTCTCTTCATGATACATGTAGTCTACTAACGCCAACATGTCAATGGCTGCCAAATGTCTGTAATTAGATGGCTACCAGTACAACAAATACAATAGAATAAAAATTGTCATATTTCATACGATGCATCTGTAAATGAGTGGTCAGTGGGTCCCAACTCATTACTGGGTTGTCGGTCTTAAGGTTTGCGGGAAAAAAAAAGAGGTCAAATCAAATGCATATTATTTGAATTAAGTGCTCTCTCTCAGAATAACTGTTTGAATCAATTCCCCATTCAAATACACATCATAATACCCCTCGAATTGAAGACCCTTAAATGGCAGCAACACCCCTTTGAATAAATTCCCCCACCGATGAAACTACAGGCAGCAACACCATTCTTTTCCCATGTAATAATAAATGCCTCCATGATTGATGGCAGCAACACCAATCTTTTCCCTTGGAAATATGTTCCATGAATGCATGTGAATTTGCATTTTAATAACTACAAAAAAAGAACTACATACGTGAAGCGTCTATGAACATCCTTAAGATGTCGAATTCTACCAGTTCCAGTGGTACGTCGTCTCTTAGCTTTGATACTCCAGTTATCTTCAAAGAAATAGGATTTTATAGAACATAATGAAGCTTCAGTAAATTTAGTCTGTTTTTCGGTATAGATTAGTAAATTCTCTTTCATACAGAACATGAAATTCTTAGTTGCTATTTAAAAATAAAAACTATTATAGGAAATATGGCATTAGCACTGGTGTTTTACATTCCAAATTATTGTTTCCCATTAATTAATTGTTAAATAAAATAAGCTCAACTGTAAAATATATCAAAATTCATTACATGGCTTACTATCTAATAAATATGCAAGATACTGAAATCAACTACATTTCTTAACACAAACATTAACAACATCTATTTAAAACAGATGAGTGATTAGTTGAAAGACCATGTTAATTTACTTACAGGTTCTTATTCTTTTTGATGGATATCCACAGCTTGCACACGTCTTCTTTTGAATGTGATAACTTCGTCTACCACACCTTCTGCAGAAGGTGTGCGACTTGTTGTGTCGCTTACCAAAGCTTGAGGTTCCCTTCGTCTGTAAAATAATGTTAAAATGTGTTTACTTCTGTACAGTACATAGTTTTTTTATATACTGTAACTACATATTATTATGTTATTTAAACTGTAGGTACTTGTGTTGTCGGATGAGATGAAATAAATTAATAATACACTACCTGTTGTACTACCAAAAATATAAAAAAAAACTATTATACTAACTATAAATAACAAAAAATGCTGGATTGCTCATTTAAAACAACCATCAAAGTCTTGATAAGTAGCAGATACAAAAAAAACAAAAAAACCACAAGCCACTAATGTTTTGTTTTGTACCAAAACTTGTAAAGACTCATCATATTTTTCCAATATATTTTTGGAACCAGGTTGGTGCATTTATATTTACGTTTTAACATTCCAAAGAATCCCTCAGTTGGGACTTGGCATCAAGGAATTAATCTTATTGTGCATGGCAAGGGAAACTGTGAAGTGGTTTGGTGCAGCAGGAATGGATTGGTTTCCAAATCTCGAAGTTGGGGTTGCATTTCACTTGTGTCCTTGGGGAAGGCACTTTATCGGCATTGCTTCTCTCCACCCAGAAGTATAAGTGGGTTAGGAAACACTCCCCCAGGGAGCTTGAGTTTGTGTTTTATAGACGTTTAATCTAATGACTGGGGTAATGATAATGTGAAGCGCATAGAGGGCTTAACAATATGCGCTATACAAGTCTATTATTATTATGCGGCAGACAATATATACCTAGATATATATCACCTGAATAGATGTAGTGAATGATCCCATAAAAAAGAGTTGTTGACCTCCCCACCCCCACTCCGTTTTTTAATCTGTTTACTTCATCAAGTAACGTTTCAGTTTTTATTGAAACACCTTTTTTGTGTTGAGTCGGCAGTTTCAACCAAGGTCTAGGACGACCCTAGGCTAGGTCTACTTTCGCCAAATGTGGTGTTATTTTAACTGTGATTTATATCGGTCTGGCTTGAAATTCAGCAAAGAGACACGAGGAGATACAGATAATATATGTATACTACACTACAACGCTGCACGACACTAGCTATGTACTACTGATTTACTTTCCGAGCGAAAATGAGTCCAAGTAATCTTTATTTTCACACAAAATCAAAAGTTAATACATAAAAGAACATACAAAATTAGGTGTAGGCCTAGCCCATAGCATATCTGTGTATGTATTATGTATGCTATGCCAAAGCGGGGAGAAGACACAGGGCGGTCCATCTCATCTTCTAAAAGGCCTATACTATAGCCTCCTACCTATCCAACGTACTAGACCTAGGCCTAGTTTAGGTCCGCCTCCAGCTAAGCGGGCTAGGCCTAGATTATGTAGTAGGCCTAAGTTTACAATTTTACAAGTTTGGAACTTTACAGTTCAGAGGAAAAAACTTTTTTTTTTTGGTTATTGGT